GTGCTCTTGAACCAAGGAATTAAAATGTCCATTTGGTCTCTGCCTGCGGAGCCAAAAGAAGGGAAAAAACGCACACGTTCTTGATGAGTGATTGAAACAGTATAAAATTCAAATGAGTTAATAAAAATACTAAATTGTCCCGACAAAGAGTCTGGGGGCTTGTTAAGCACACCAGTCTTTCCATTAGTCCTTGTTCCTGTCTTGCAAATTCCACACTTAACTTCCCATCTTAAACATCCCCACCTTAATCAGCTATACAGAAAGCCCACCTTAACCAGCTGTACAGAAAGCCTTTGAGGAAATTTAAAGTGATCTGTATTCTGTAATTTTAAGACTGATTTAACAGGTAACTGACTCATGAGTTACCCAGAGAATTTCATGAACTCCCAAATACTTGATTACTCCAATTATTTTCTTAAAAGCTTCCGGAATGGCCATACCTTTGTATCCTTACTGAGTGAAAAGTAAGCCTTACCCCACATATGGAGACATCTAGCCCGGTGCCCTTAAATATCAAAGGACCTAACTCCTTTGACTTTGCCAAACCACGAGGCAACCTTCTGATTACAAGGCGGCTTCCCCTACAGTGCTCCTAGAGGCAAAGGATGAGGCCAGCAAATGTTTATTATTCTCACAGCATGCTGAGGACTGTGAAAGGCCTTTCAGTCAATCCTCCATTACTTTAGCTAAGCCTCTGTTTCCTCTTCTATAAAATGGTATTAACAAAAGAGGCTTACAGCTAAGTTCACAGTTATAAGTTGTCAAACCCAGACTAATTCCAGAAATCAGCTCCCACCTTCTCAGCAAGGCCTTCCCTGACCCAATCTGAAATACTCCATCCACACCCTCTTCTCCCCAGCTTTGTCCTCCTGCCACTTACCACCATCAAAGGGGGACATTTCTGTAGTTTGGTCTTGTGCATTGCTGTATCCCAGCACCTAGAACAGTGCCTACCACATAGTAGGTGCTCAATAACGGTGTTGACTGTTTACGTCTGTCAATTTGGGTGAACCTGATGTGCCCTAGAAAGAAGCCTCCCGTGCTGGCTGTTGAGGCCACAGGTCTGTGTCCAGCACCGTAACAGGACATACACTGGACGAGGGTGATTTCACCAAGTAGTGCCCACCACGTGATGCCCGGGGAGATAAGACTGCTTCCCTCTGCACACCTAGCTATTGATTCTCCACCTTTTCTGTTAGATATTTCTACAGCTAAATCCCACCTGTGTGTGCCGACCATTGTTAATGGTCTTTAGGCACCGTGTCTAATCCTGGCGAGATCTCTACATGTTACCAACTATTCAAATGAGACTCAGAATATCTCATTCTGAGTCGAACACCACTTTGGACTTGATAAATGGCAGAGCTCTGGACTTCATTGAATGTGTGGCTGACTGCTGAGGTCCAGATGTAATGATAAAGTCACATGCAGTCCACAGGACTGGAGACCAGACATAACCCTGACACTTTAACAGAAGCCAACACGAAGGTAACCAGGCCCCAGGGCCAGATGGGGTCGTCATCTCAGAGGATACCTGCGTGGAAGGCAGAGACCACTCAGCTCCATGGCTCTCCTCTGATACCAGAGCTCTGACCAGATGGGGCAGCACTCAGATCTATTCATTTATTCATTCATTCCTGTGTTTATATACTCAACAAATATTTACCGAGGTCCCTGCTGTGTGCCAGACCTTTTTCATCAGTGCTAGGGATACAGCAGTGAACAAAAAATCCCTGCTGCTGTGGAGTTTATATTCTAGCAGAGGAAAATCATACATAAACGTAGTAAGTAAAATTTTTAGTATGTTGGAAGGTGGGATGTTCGGTGGGGAGAACTAGAACAGCTGAGAGGGCCCTGCGATTTTAGGTAGGTTACATTCATCTGAACAAACTGGAGGAGGTGAAGGAGTTTGCTCATGGCTGGGGAGGGAAAAGCATTGCAGGTAAAAAGAACCATGAGGTTGGCGGAACGCGCTGGCTCCTGCCTGTGACCCTAGCAGTCTGGGAGGCTGCGGCGGGTTTGCCTCAGCTCAGGATTGCTCGAGACCAGCATGAGCAGCAAGAGTGAGATCCTGTCTCTATTAAAAACAAACAAACAAACACACACACACACACACACACACACAATACCCAACTAGCAGGGTATTGTGGTGCACACCTATAGTCCCAGCTACTTAGGAGGCTGAGAACAGATGGTTGCTCAAGCCAAAGAGTTTGAGTTTAATGTGAGCTATGATGCCACAGTACTCTACCCAGGGTGAAGGAGTGAAACTCTGTCTCAAAGAACAAACGAGAACACTGAAGTCACACCCCTGAGACAGGTCATGCCTGGTGTCCAGCAGGGCTGGAGCAGAGAGGAATAGGAAGTGGAGCCAACAGAAGAGTCAGGGGACCCAGGGCAGAGCCCAACAGGGCCTTCTAGGCGTCTGTAAGAGCTGCAGGTGTTATGCTCAGAAAAAGAGGGATGTGGGAGAAAGTGTGTTTAACACAGAGGTTTCTGAACTATGAAAGGGGTAAGTAACATTTCTGAACTGTTGAGTTTGTAGCTTGTGAAATTCTCTCTACCACATACATAAAGGCAGTATTCTGTTATTTTTTAAAAACATAATGTTTACCACTACAAAACCCATGTATATCTTTGTTAGTGAGTCAGAGTGTTCACTAAATTGATTTTTGTTGTAGGACTTTGGGGGGTTTTGAGTTTGGGGTTTTGATGGGCTTTCTGTCGTTGTTTGTTTCGGCAACTGGATAAATTCAGCATAACCCTGGAAGCCTAGTATAAAAGTGATAAAACCACTGACTTAAGTTTCTTTTCTCTGGTCTGTTTTGGAAAAGTTTAATAGTTTGCAATGGATACCAATTGTTCACTGAACAAATAATTGGTAAGTGGAGATCTCCCAATCTGAGGGGGGAAACGCATATGCACATTATTTTGAAACAAGTGAACACAGATTATTTATCGTGGAGAAAATGTACTGCTATGTGGCTGCGCGACCAGCCCGCTGGGACTGACTACCTGTAAGAGCAGATACTGAGGCCGGGCGTGGTGGCTCATGCTCATAATCCCAGCACTTGGGAAGCCAAGGCAGGTGGATTGCCTTAGTTCACAGGTTTGAGACCTGCCTGAGTAAGAGCATGACCTCATCTCTAAAAAATAGCCGGGCGTTGTGGTAGCCACCTCCTAGCTGCTTGGGAGGCTGAGGCAAGACGATCGCTTGAACCCAAGAGTTTGAGGTTGCTGTGAGCTAAGATGCTACAGCACTCTGTTGAGGCTGACCAAGTGAAACTCTGCCTCTAAAAAAAAGGAAAAAGAAAAGAGTTGATACTGAATGGGATATGGCTGTGGAATCAGAGAAACTTTGCCAGAAGATGAGTGATGCAAGAAAAACTAGTAGGCCAGGATAATGGTAAACCACGTTGGTTCACTGTATCAACACTGACTAAAAATCAGTAAATGTTAGTGCACGCAACAAGACATGAGAAGCTGGGAAGGAAACATTCAGAGGATACTGGAAATTGCTCAGGTCCTCCCAGCCCAAAGAACAGACAGGCCCATTTCTAATATATTTTTGGGACCTAAGACAAAGGAACAAAGGGAAGTCCAAATATAATACACATAAATATGCAAATGTTATAAATCAGACCAGTGCCATTAAATAAGTTCCTTCCTCCTACCTAGACAACCTCCACAACTATAACCACCTAGAAGGCCAGATTTGAATTTCAGATGCTCGGCTTCCTTAGAGTCCTGTGCTGTGGGTGCAGGGAGAATCAGCTAAGGACACAGCCCACTCCTTCCGCCGTAGCTGTTCCCCACTGCTAAGGGTGTCCTGTACACACATATGAGTACTCAGCCTGGACATCAAGCCTGCCCATCACCCCTGCAAACAGCCATGCTCTGACCAAGACAGAAACTCACCCCAGGGTGAAAGGCCAGAAGCCCCTTGCAGACCCAAGGGGCTCAGGAACATTTGGACTGGGTGTTCCGGGGGTCCTATGTGCTGGGGGCATGGTCTAAAAAAGGGGGTAGACGGGAACTTCCAGTGAGCAAGGCCCCTGGGCCCCAGGGAGTCCTCCCCATGTAAATGGTGTTTGTGGGGCACCCTCTCATGAAGGCTTGGCTGCTGGGGGTCTAGCAGGAGGTAGGTAATCAGAACCCTGTCAGCTCTGTCCCCTGGTGTCACAGCACTCTCCCATCTTCAAGGATGGAAGATTCCGTCTCCCCGTCCAGCTTTTTCTCCATTCCTTGGGAGCCAAGAAGATCTAACACACTCCAGAAAACCCAGAGAGACCTTACCCTTGAGGTCCAGGGATCTCCTTAGAATCTTCAGTCACATCCCTTCCCTGGGCTTTCTAGCTTGGTGCCAGGTGCAAGCCACCCAGCCAGTGTTCTGGGGCCAGGCTTACCAGGAGATGGCTGGAGGCTGAGCCTGGGGATGGAGGGAAGCAAACACATTGTTCCCTGCCCCAGAATGCCCTGCCTACTTTATTTTTTTAAGAATGATATATTCTGATTTGATTAGAAAGGTACAGAGATGATAAAATTTACATAGCTGGTCCTCCCACCTACCCAGGCCCACTGCCCTGAAATAGCAAATGTCCATAGTCGGGAATGTCCCAGGGCACGACTTCTCTCTGTGCCTTTAAACACACAGATAAATACTAACAGCAGGGATGTTGCAGCATAGTACACACATAAACTTTAATCTTTCGTAACCACTACCAAGTGTAAAATCTGTCTTTCCCCTTGAGTAGTGGTGTCCAATTCTAGAATTTTCCCTCATGATGGGCTATGAGAACAGACTCACTGCAGCTGAGTCTCATGATGACTCTGATTCCACGCTCTCCTCCTGTCCCCTCTGAGCCAGGTCATGCTGGACTGATGGCTGCAGTTGTCTCTTTCAACCCTCTCCCTCTTCTGTGGCCTTTACCCTTTGGAGCTGGGATGGGGAAAGGGATGGGGGGAGGAAGAAGGGGAAGACACAGCTGACCACTGACCATTCAGTGTTGCCACTCCGTTCTTCTGGCTGCAGCTGGTCTCTGGCGGATAGGCAGCCACCGGACGCATGGCAGATAGCCATATGCTGGCCCAGCGCTCTGGGGCACAGTAGTTGGTTCTTCAGAGGGCCCAAGGGGGAACCCCCTCTCCAATGTCCTGCCAAGGATGGTCTTGCTACTGAGTTCCCCTCGCCTGTCAGAAGACCCCTCCTGAGGTTCCATGAGGCGCTCTTCAAACCCAGCCCCTCCGCCCTTGTGTGACACACAGTGGATGGCAGGCTGCCCCCCGGCACCCACCATCTCAGCCCAGGCCATCAGGTACCCTGCTGGACCTTCAGGTCAGAAGCTTTCAGAGACACTCACACTCCTTAACCCAGTGCACTGTTCCAACACCTTCAACCTTCTAGGAACAAGGATGGGAATGAAAAGCCCCCCCCCTCAGGGAAAGAGAGGAACACTGATTTTCACCCAGTGTGCGGCGGCACACTAGTGGCTGTGAGAGGATCTCCGGTGTGCCATGAAAATTTTTAAATATCATTAACTAAATTATTTTCAAAAAAAAGTTCAAAGTACAGTTAAGTATATTCTTTTTTTTTACTCTTTTCTTTGACCAACATAATTTAAGTGTGCCACAGAAGCTTAACTATAGGTTCAAGTGTGCCCTGAGATAAAAAAGGTTGAAAAACGCTGGAGAGGAGGAAAGGCTGGTGGCTCTCCACAAACTGTCCTCTTGTGAACTAAGGTCTCTCTGGAGTCACACGGACGGGAGACCCCTCTTCCACAGGTATGGGGTGGGGGAGACCTGGTGGTATCAGCTCTGCTAAAAAGGCACTATCATAACTAATACACAAAAATGCTCTGAATTTAGAATTTGAGGCACTTAATACCTCTTACTATCAATTTTAAGTTTGGTCAAAAGTCAAGGAAATAAGGAAAGTCCCCCTCGATCCCTACCTCGCCACACATTGAGACGTCTTTTCTCATTTCCTACAGTTCACACAACTAGATCAGGTGCGTTACAGTGTTGCCCCCACCTCCCCTGTGCTTTCTTTTCCAGGGTTTTACTTAACTGCCACGGTCTGAAAATATTAAGTGGAAAATCCCAGAGATAATTCATAAGCTTCAAATTGTGTGCTGTTACAAGTAGGGTGATGGAATCTCAGGCCATCCCTCGCCTTCCTGCTCAGGACAAGGTAATCATCCCTTTGTTGTCCAGCAGAGTTGTTTGTAAGTTAAACTTCATCATAGGTATGTATAATAGCAGAAAAACATAAGAGTTTGGTTCTACCCTCAGTTCAAAACGGCCACTGGGAGTCTTGGAATGTCTCCCCCAGGGTACGGGGAGACGGACGTATTCTACCTCTTCAGGTTATGCTCATTTACCCCCCAGCGAGTGTTTGATGAATATTAGTTCTGATAACCATTATTATGGGCCCTTCATATGACATCCTTCTTTGTCTTTCACACAGCTGATATTTTATCTTATTATGCAAAATAAGTGTTTTGTTTGCTGTAGGAAAATGTTTGAGATTTTTAAAAAATGATTCTTCACATAGTCTTTCCCTCTTAAGAGTGAGGTGCATGTTGCAATTTTTCCTACTCCATCCTTTATGAAGGTATGAGTCTTACTACAAACACAAATGCATATTCAACAGACACAACAAAAACTTCTCAAATTATTTAAAAATTGATATAGAGAGAAAAATATTGATATAGAAAATGTAGTTGGGTCCAGACTTGGTGGTTCACACCTGTAATCCTAGCACTCTGGGAGGCAGATCACCCGAGCTCAGGAGTTCAAGACTAGCCTGAGTAAAGCGAGATCCCATCTCTGCAAATACAAAAAACTAGCTGGGCGTTGTGGCAGGTGCCTATAGTCCCAGCTACTCGGAAAGCTGAGGAGGCATGAAGTTCGCTTGAGCCCAAGAGTCTGAGGTTGCTGTGAGCTATGATGACACCAAGGCACTCAAACCAGGGCAACATAGTGAGACTCTGTCTCCAAAAAGTAATAAAATAAAATGAAATTGGATACAAGGCTAATATTTTACTAATTTTTCGGAAAAATACTTAAATCTCTGGGTTCAATAAATTACTATTGGTTAATAATTATAGTAACCTTACCAAAAGAGAAATTTGTTGATAATACTTCTAAGAAATAACCAAGTTAAACATTCATACTAAATATTGCACTAATGTTTTGAACTTGGTAGAATTTCTACTTAAAAATCACAAGCATATCCAATTTTTTAATGATATACTTTATATTGGAGTCACAAGAGGAATTTGTTACTTGAATAAGATAAATTATCTCAAGCATTACAAATGCTTGCATATCAAAAGTGCTCATCATTCCTTAATCCTAAAATATCACTATGAAAGGTTTAATTTGCTCTACATTCTATTTTTTCTTCATTTTCCCCAAGATTTAAGCACATTGATCCAGTAAGGAAACAAGTGTGCTATTTCAAGTGAAGCATGGATTGCCTTCCTAACCAAAATCTTGCAGATACCCTCTCTCATAGCTGAGACTGGTAAGGTTGGCAGCCCCATCAAGACTGCACCGAACCTTCACTGTTCTCATGGTTTTGCATTTCTGTTTCCCTAAGGCAGTGAAACATCTCTAACTCGCTCTAAAACCACTTTAAATTCATTCCATTGGCTCCTTCTTGCTCTGAGTTAATTCTATGCAACCTATTTGAATAGGACAAATCCTATCTTCTTTTCTTACTCTAACTATCTGGTAGGACTACAGCTTTTTTGAATTCTAAGTAACTGTTAGGGCTTTGACTCTACAGTCACAATTCTATGGTCAAATGACAAATAACACTGAAGGGAAGGTAATACTTTCTGGAAGAGATATCATGGCATCAAAACAGTACCCTATAGGAAACTCGCTGTTTTTAAGAATGAATCTGAGGCAAACTTCAGGCCTGGGGCTGCAAGAGCCGCTATACCGGGGGACTCAACCTTCAGTTCTCCCACTCTTGCAGTAAATACCACCTGTTGCGCCAAGCTCGGTGTTGACGGGTCATTTGCACCTGGTGATAGGCAGGTACACACGGACTTCAAAACACCCTGGTGGAAGGGAGTGAGGAGAGGAAAACCAGGGAGATACAATTCATGGAGAACTTGAAGATCTAGGGAGCTTGTGCCTCTCTCTGAGCGCACGCTGCCTTACCTTCTACTCTGGGTCCCTACGTTAGAGATTCCACATCCTTGTTCAAAACAACTTTGTCTTCTGTGTCTGCTGGGGGTCTTTCCGTCAGTCACATCACTGTAATGTTGTGACTACTGAACAAAACTGGAAGTTAAGAACAAAAACCTCTTCATTCAAACAGGTTTAACATAAGTAAAGGTAAGTTAATGCCCCACATATCTGAAATATTCAAAGGTAGGGCTGATCTCAGGAAAAGGCATGGACCTAGCAGTTCAGAGGTCACAGGCCTACCCCAGATCCAAATGCTGTGTGTTGCCAGCAACTAGCTCAGATGAGGTTATAGGTGCCAATCCTGTATCCAGGTTGGCATTATTCCCCTTGGAACCAACCCCAACAAAAATCAAGAGCCACAGGAAATGGAGAGAGAGAGAATTTATGCTGGGAAGGTATAAAGTCCACTACAGATAAATAATAACAAAAATAATTCTCCCTCTCCTTCCTCGTGGAAGCACATGTAGTGAGAATAAGATGGAGCAGTCTGGCTAGGGCCAACAAGACACAGCTGGTCTGGTGGGTTTAGGTCCTCACGACCTTCCCCTCTTCTCCCATTCTTACTGTTTTGCAAATTGAGCTCCCACCACAAAGATGCGTCTTGAGTGGTCCAGGGGGATCGATTTAGGAGATTAACTTTTGAACTGGATATTGTTTGGGGCCATAGGTTATGCTGATGGTTGTTGTTTAAGATAAAAATTAACATGGTTTTTATTCTGAACTTTGATGTATAAAACTATGAGTTTGGATATGGAATAACAGAACAGTCTTGGAGAGGTTACTCTCACCGTTCTCCAGAATTGCTGGCCTTTCTGATAAAGTTTGGTGGACCTGTCCCCATGTCTATATACTGGCTGACAGTGACAGGAGACCAGACCCTTGTCGTCTGTTAACATTGTGCTATGTATCTGACTTAAGACTATATTTAAAGAATGTTTACGATAGTCAGGTGCTGTGGAGCGTACCTGTAGTTCCAGTTACTTGAGAAAGCTCTGTAGCCTGGTCAAAACAGCAGAAATTTACTTCATTAAAAAAAAAAAAGAAGAAGAAAAAGAAAAACAGAAATGTTTATAGCACTGCTGTTTAAAATAGCAGAAAAATTAGAAGCAACTTTAATGTCCAACATGAAGTCAGATACAGAATTCATTCTATCTCTATGCTGTAACAAAGTAGTACAGCAGTTCTCAGCCTCTCAGGTCTCAGGACCCTTTTACATTTTTAAGAATCACTGAGGACTCCAAAGAGCTTTCGTTAATCTGGGTTACAACAATCAGTATTTACCATTTGAGAAATTAAAACTGAGGCCAGGTGCAGAAGCTCACGCCTGAAGTTGCAGCATGTTGGGGGGCCGATGCAGAAGGACTGCTTAAGGGCAGGAGTTCCCGACCAACCTGGACAACATAGGGAGACTCTGCCTCCACAAAGAATAAGAAAAATTAGCAGGGCATAGTGGCACTGGGGGACTGAGGCAGGAGGATCGCTTAAGCCCAGGACTTGGAGGCTACAGTGAGCTATGTTTGTGCCACTGCACTACGGCCTGGGTGACAGACAAGATCCTGTCTCTTAAAAAAGTGGTGAAGGAATTAAAACTGAGAAATTTTAAAAATATTTGTTTAAAAATTGCAGTGGCTCACACCTAGCACTCTGGAGGCCAAAGCAGGTAGACTGCCTGAGCTCAGGAGTTTGAGACTCATCTGAGCGAGAGCAAGACAGACCCGATCTCTACTAAAAACAGAAAAAGTAGCAAATTACCAGGGATGAGGTGAGGAGAGAGAAAAGAGAGAGAGAAAGAAGGAGAGAAAGAAAGAAGGCAGTAGTAAATCCATTACATGTTTTTATAAACATAAATAACTATTATAAGCTTTAAAAATATACTTTATTTTTTTAAGTAACTATTTTCAAAAAAGGAATAAAACAGTGGCATTGTTTTACATTTTTCAAATCTCCTTATTGTCCCGCTTAACAGAAATGGCTGGATTCTCAGATTTGCTCCTGTGTTCCATCTGTTTTGGCTGAAGTATATGAAAGGAATCTGACTCCACAGAGGCACGTAGTTGGAACAGGGAGGAGGCATTTCAACAGCCTTTTCAGATAATGGTGCACATGCTCCTTTGAAATTATGCCCAAACTGGACAAGTGGTAGTTTCTTAAAGATCAGTTGCAGGGTATGGTCTGAAACCATCATCGAACTTTCTCACATTCTGCTACATTACAATCCACTGGTCCATCTTGCACACTGGACAGAGCTTTCGCTCATTCATGATTTTATAGCAGCATGTGCTAGTCATGCAGAAATTACAGATTTACTGAGTTGTGCAGATCTTCTGAATCAGCGGTTCTCAACTTGTGGGTTGCGACGTTAGTGAGATTGAGACTATATTAAAGGGTTGTGGCGTTAGGAAGGTTGAGAACCTAAATTCAGGCAAAACTTGTTATTCTCATATAATATCAAAAAATGGCATTTGTAAATTACTACCCATCTCATTGGAAAAGTCTTTATGTTGAGGGAAGCTATCAAGCAACCACTGAGGGACACAAGTTTTCCAAAATTATAAGTTTTGTGAGAAATTGCAAATTTTATCACTGGTAACAAACAGCATCGGTTATTTTCCTTGAAGAGAGGCTGACTGCAACAAATTTTGAGAAAATGTCACCACTCAACAGTAAATGACCAACCACAGTTTTCTGTTAGCCGTTCTTTGCAGTGAGAATGGTATTCTCGGATAAAAAGCAGCTACTTCAATTCTCACGTCGAACAAACGAGTGCTTTCCCTGGAGACAACCACCATACTTCCGTGTGCAGCAAAAGCACTTTGTGGGTGCTCGCACTTCACCGCAGGGAGCCACTGTGTGCACAGACACGCACAGGCGGACAACACAGAAGGACAACGGAGGCACAGGCCACATGTGTGACAGGAGCTGCCTTCTGGTGATGGGACGTGGAGGAAACAAGACCATAGGAAACTTTTCTGTTTAAAGTACAGTCTGAGTGTTTTACAGTGAAAACTACTTCATGCATTATTCATGTAATAAACCAAGAAAGCGAGTCTGGCAGAACACACGACAGGGCTGACTGTCCCACTGGTGATTGTCATTTTTCCTCCTCTCTAGATTTTCCACAACAAGCATTTCTTCTTTATCAACAACAGTTATTTTTATTTACAAAAAGAAGAAGTCATCCAAAGGCTTTGGAATGCATATGCATGGTGAATTGCTCAAAGTTAATCGAAACCCAAATACTGTATAAAAGTTTACCCAATTCCGTAGCAGAGTATGGGTTTTAAATTTAAGTCTTATGAGAAATATTCTAATCATATTCTGACACCCTCAAAAAATAAAGGTACTCAAGTAAATGAATGTTAAAACATATATACATATATATCTCTTTATAATGTTTAGTATGAAAGACATTGTTTTATTATTTAAAAAATAATAGAAGTCTTTTATAAAATACAAAGTGCACAGCTGCCTAGTATAACTGGTATCCTTTCTACTTTCTTTTCCCCTACTTACGTGGAATTCAAAATGTTGTTTCCCTTTAGTGCTCGGCTCAACTTATACATACCATTTAATAATGCACAGAAAAGCTTCTTCCAAAGACAGTGAAGGCCATTTGAAAAATAACTATGCTTTCTTCCATTTATAAGATAGAATTTTGGTAATATACTATTTCAATATTATAAATAGAGATTAGAAACAGCACGATAACAGCTGCTCAAGGCAATCTTAAGGCAAATCTAATTTAATATTCTGTTTTCATATTCTCACTCAGGCCCTCAGAAGACCCAAATCCTTTATGTGAACTGCAGAAGGCTGATTTAAGATGCCAGGGCCTCAATAAATAGGCGAGTTTTCCATTGTGATCAGAATAATTTTTAAGCT